TTGTTTGTAGATTTTTGGTCTGTTTAAGTCTTTTTGACCTGGACCATTCCAAAAGATTTACTGAACTAAGTAGGCTCATTTGATGTGTCAAATTATGTAGGAAGCATTGCCAAATTAGAAGTAATACTAAGTTTTCTTTATGTTGTATTTGTAAGATTTGGGTACGTGTGACAAGTACATTCTGCTTCTACAAACAATGGCCCCTCACAGAGAGACTCTTCCCATCCTGATGTCCTTGTAACATAGCAACAGTCCGCTCCTGAAATTGCGAAATTGAACAATGGCTGTAAATTAAACAGTCAGGGCTATGGGAAAACCAAGACAGCTGCTGGGTTTTTCCCAGGTCCCTGGCAAATCCCATTTTTTTTGGGGGGGGGGTTGCATTCCTTTACCCACCATGAGGCATTTAAGATGACTCAAACTATAGACGTTGGTGGGGAGACTTGTATAAAATTGCAAGAACAGTCCATGAGCAATGTCCAACTTGTCAGGTCCATAATCCTAAAAAAATTGTTTTTGTCTCCAGAGGCCTCAGACATCTTCCCTTTGGACCCTCCAAGCACCTACAGCTGGACTTCATTCATCTGCCACTTCATATGGGCGATCAATATGTTCTTGTTACTCTTTGTATGTTTTTCCAAGTGGGTTAAAGCCTCTCCCCATGGCAAGTCTGATGCCTTTACAATGGGTTTAAAAAAACAAAAACTGTTTAAAAAATGTACTTCCCACTTGGGGTACACCTATGATCTCTAATGATCGGGGCACCCACTTCACTGGGCAAATCACACCAGCCTTAACGAAAACCTTGCAAGCTTCTTAAAATTCTACCACTGTACTACTTTCTGCTGACCTGGTTGTCTCATGAAAGCATGACGAGCTGTTATAAGTCTCTAATGTCTATCATCCACAGGTTAAAGAAGGCTCCCTGGTTTCCCAATTCAAAGGATTCTGTTGGTCACAGTTTAGAGCCTGATGATGAGGTATTCTGAAAATATTATCAAAGAAAGACAGCCCTTGAGCCCCATTGAAAGAGACTTTACCAAGTGCCCCTGATGACCAATACTGCTGCAAAAGGAGAAGGCATTGAGCCTTGGGTACACACGTCACAGCTGAAGGAGGTCCCCCTGATCCCTCCATAGATGCTGGAGATCTCCAAATCAAATTGGCAAGGAAGAGAAGTAGCTGGCATTGAGGTAAACTGTTTCTGCCCAAGACGGCGGATCAAGACTTCATACTTGAACTAAAATGAAACCCTTTCTCTTTTTCCTTTCCTTGACTCTGGCATTGGCCAGAAGAATAATGCTCTCATTTGTATTTCCCAGGCCATAGCTAAAGGAGTGACCTCTGGAACTGAACGCAACCTTTTATTTCAGGGAAGGAGAAAATCTAACTATGCCTCTAAATGTTTACAAGCTAAAGAAGACATCTCATTGGTCAGTTCCCCAAATTTACATCATGGAGTTAGAAAGGAGCCACTAGAAGGGTTTTAGTACTTTTGGCAGGTCCCTACTTCTCTGGTTAGGGATAAATGTAAATTAAGGCTATAATCAGGAACTTTTCCTTGATTCTTAAAGGTATTGCAAAATCTGCTGCGAAAGCAATACTGACCAACTTTTTTCTTACAGATTCCAGGACCACAGATCTTAGACATAAAACAAACAGGTGTGCCAGAAGATGGTGCATTTAATCGTTTGGTTCTTAATGATAGGGTTTTAGAATACAGGTGAGGTTTGGTGGGGTGGAGTCAGGAGTCAATGACCAAGAAAGAATTCTTGAGATGTCTTTGGTGTAAAAAGGTGGTTTTATTAAAGCACGGGGATAGGACTCGTGGGCAGAAAGAGCTGCTGCACAGGTGTTGTGAGGGGCAGCTGATTGTATACTATGCGGGGCGGGGGGATCTTGGAATCCTTTTTCCAAGATGAAAACAAAAACAGAAATTAGACTTGGAACAAAAATTAAAACTCCACATCCGACATAAATTCCTCCTACTTAATGATGAGGGAGCAGAAAGCAAGCTGAGGACAAGGCAGAAGCTGACTCCCCACGAGGAGGAATTTATGTCGGATGTGGAGTTTTAAATTTTTTAATTTTTGTTCCAAGTCTAATTTCTGTTTTTGTTTTTGTTTTTGTTCTCATCTTGGAAAAAGGATTCCAAGATTTCCCTTGGAAAAAGGATGTTATATACTTTTGTATCTACTTCTGAATTTGGTCTTTGCATAGATGCCATTAAGACAATTCTTTAGGATGAGAGCCCTGTTAAATTTTTCAAACATCAAAGTTTCTCTGATTCAGAAGATCCATTGTCGGGGCGCCTGGGTGGCTCAGTGGTTAAGCCTCTGCCTTTGGCTCAGGTCATGATCTCAGGGTCCTGGGATGGAGCCCCACATCCAGCTCTCTACTCAGCAGGGAGCCTGCTTCCCCCTCTCTCTGCCTGCTGCTCTGCCTACTTGTGATCTCTCTCTGTCAAATAAATAAATAAAATCTTAAAACAAAACAAAACAAAAAAGAATATCCATTGTCTGGTCATTGATGAGGAGGATCTATTCATCTCAACAGTGAGTCAAACCTAAGCCAAGGACACAAGAGGCATCTCACAAGAGAGTGTAAAATATGCTGCTCTCACAAGATCTAGAGAGTTCATTTACAAAGATAGACTATAAAAGTAAAGGCCTTTGTTGTTTATTTTTATGACCAATAAAAATACGCTCTCTGGTCTTCACCATTGGGAGGGTGCACTTCCTAGGGTCTACCTGGTGGCCAGTTGGGGTTCCAAGACATGCTCTTTGGCTGGCTGTGTCAGCAGTCAGAGGAGTTTGTTGTAAGGGGCCCAGAACATAAGGGGCCTTGTTTTCTCAAATTTTGTTGCTTGTTAGTGCCAGAAAAGTCCCATTTCAGTAGCACCTGCCTGGTGTCACAGATTAGTGATCTGTGACCGGAGATGTTTCATGTTTTCACAACAGCATCTTTCTTGTCTGTGCAACAACAAAGGCCTTTGCTATCACCTCCCCCCCACCACCAAAAAAAAACCTCTTTAACAACTAGCTGCCTGTTATAATTTCCCTTTCTTCATGAGATTTGCAGAGAGTACTTCTGCCTGATCTCTAGGCCCAGGAAATACAGTTTCCTTATGTAAATACTGAATGTCAGGAAGTGAATTTAGCAAAAGTGCCCAGGGAGAGCAACAGGGCTTGCTTTGCTATCGCTTATAATTCAACTCCTCCTACTTCCCAGGGCTCGGAATCAAGCTCTGCCGGTTTCGGGCATTCCTGTACCAGGTCCTTTGTGCACGTATCCTGGACCGCCAGGGCAAAGAATTCATGTCCCCAGGATAGCAGCAGATCTTTTAAATTATAAAATCCTTTTACTTCTGCCCTTGGAGTGATGTGAAAATGTTGGGGTTCGGTAGTGAACAGTCAAGAAAGAAATCTTGAGGTGTCTTTGGTGCAAAAGGTGTGGTTTTATGAAAGCTCAGAAACAGGACCAGCAGGCAGAGAGAGCAGCTCTGGGGTCATGAGGAGTGGCTGATCGTAACTCTCAAGCTGGGGGGAGTGGTGTAGGGATGGTGAAGTCTCTACGGAATTTGGGGGCAAGGTTTCCAGCACCTTGAGGGGCTTGCTGTTGTTAGGACAAGGTCATTTACTACTGTTTAGTAAAACCTTAGTCATGAGACCCTCCAGGTGTATATCAGTGGGCCATATGCTTGGAGGATGATTTCTAACATGTATCTTGGGGTTGGGGGGAGAGATAAAGGAAGTTTCCAAAGGGATTTCCATATGTTAAAGAAGATCAATAGGATCCTGCAGTTTGTGCTAATGCTAAGCTAAGGCTGCCTTTTACCCTGATCAAAGTATTAACATGGGGGCAGTTGAGTTCCTAGAGGAATGTCGGTCACTCTCAAGGACTGGTCAATGGGTTGTAAGTTGGAAGGAAATTTAATTTTTTCTTTTGCCTTTGTTCTCCACATCCTACCAAATTTAGAGATGAGTTAGAAAGATTAGTGGTAATTTACAACCCCACTCACAGAGACCTAGACCGGCTATGAAGGGGTGTTCTTCCTACCCAGGATTATAGGATGGTGAGGAGACAAGCTAGATGGTCCCTGGAGAAAACCCCCTCACAGAGGAAGCTTTTCCCAGGCCGTCCTGCACATATACCAGGAAACAGCTCAGCTGGAGGCTCGCATGGGAGCTCTGTTACAGGTGTTCTCCCTCAAAGTAAATTGGTCTGAGTTTGAACCATGTACTTAGAAAGAAGAGCGCATAAAAGCCTTTGTTGAATGTTTTATATAAACTTTTCAAAGGCAGACTTTATTAAATCCAGAAGCCCTGGGACATAGGAACCTTTAATTTCTGCTTTAGTGGGATATTTTCTCCTTGATATCAAATAACAAATCCACATGGTCGGTTGGTCAGGGCAGCCACTAGGCATAAAAACGGAGGCAGCTACTTAATTCTTTGAAAAGAGCAGGAAAGCAGGATTAAAAAAGAACTCAGCAACAATTCTTGCTTTGCAACTTGAGTCTTTGGAAAGGTGAGAGCGTGACTGAGAGTAATTCAAGGCCCATTCAGAGTTCTCCCTGTTCGCCTCCAGGCAATCATAGATATTGCAAGAATCCAGGTCACTGGAAGAGAAATTGTCCTGTACTTATGAAAAAGTAAAGTTTAAGAAGCAATGTCCCTAAGCCCCATCACCCTGAGAGAATTTGTTTTTCTCCTGAGGGACAATTCGCCCTTAAATGATAGTGGCATCCAGGCCTCAGTCACACCCCAAAGCCCACCATTAACTTTAAAATAGAGGATCAGGAATGGGATTTTTTTTTTTAAGATTTTATTTATTTATTTGACAGACAGAGATCACAAGTAGGCAGAGAGGCAGGCAGAGAGAGAGGGGGAAACAGGCTCGCCGCTGAGCAGAGAGCCAGATTCCGGGCTTGATCCCAGGACCCTGAGATCATGACCTGAGCCAAAGGCAGAGGCTTAACCCACTGAGCCACCCAGGTGCCCCAGGAGTGGGATTTTTAAATGGACACTCATGTGACTTTCTCTACCATCTGCTCAGAGGATTTATCTCTACCTGTCACCTCTGATTCTAATCAGGGGATAATCAAACCAAGCAGGGAGCTCTTATAGATTCCCTCATCCTCCTAAAGGCACTGACTGAATGAGGCCATAAAGCCTCCACATTTAAACTGCAGTGGGTGCAAACAACTGTTCACTACGTAGGACAGGAGAGATCTCAGGGCATTGGAAAGCTGGCTCCAAAACACCTTGAGTCACTTTTGTTCATCCCTCTCCCCCAGACAAGTAAGTGGCTATTATGTACATTTTGGGGGGAAGTTGGCTACTGTAGCCAATGGATTCCTGATTCTGTAGACTTTGTTAAACCTCTGTATGCTCTTCTCCCAGAGACCACCCCAGAGCCCATTTCCTGGCTTTCAGAGACATTACCATCCTTTAAAGCCTGGGAATTAATATTGTCAACACCCCAGCCCTAGGCTTCCCTAATTTTAACAAACCTTTACATCGATACTGCCTTAAAATAATGGCATTGCTGCAAGCATTCTAGGACAAGCTTTTGCCTCTCAGATACAACCTATATCATATTTCTCATGCCAGTTAGACCCTATAGCATTGGGTATGCCCTCATGCTTATGTGCATTGATTGATTGGGGTTCAAAATAATGCTCATGCTAAAGCATTACATCCTGTGGTGGCCTACCCTAAACTCATGGTAGCAAGCCAGAGTAAATCCAGGAAGATGGGAATAGGATACCTTAGCATGGAGCCTGAACTCTCTCCTGGGAGAGTGACCTCTGAGTGAGAGAAAAATCGTTGGCTTAAGAATTACCAATTGGCTTTCTTATGTGACAAATAATTGCATTGTAAAATAATGATGGAGAATTACTCTTGGATACAACACACATAACTTTCTGAATTAATAATCTATCTAACCAATGTACATTTTAGAAAAACTCATAACACTCAGGGTAGGGCTCAGGGTAGGCTACTCCAAAATATGCTATGTTGGCATCTTGATTATTTTGAATTAAAGTTACTTAAGAAACAGCCAGTGCAAAAAGGATAGATACACTGACTCTCCTTAGTGCCCAGAGAGCAAGAAACTAACCTCCCATGTGAAAGGTATCCTCCCTGTATCAGGAGGTAGAGAGACATCCTTATCATCACAGATAGAGAATCTAAGGTGACGAAGCCTATATAAACAAACCTTGTTACTTTTATTAACTGGCAGCTCCCATCTAAATTCTGTTTAGAATTCCTTACTAGTTGAAGTTCCCAAACGTAAGTTTTCTTTATCCTGTCAATTCCTCACTAATTTATTGTTTCTCTGTTTTAAAAAAAAGCTGCCTGCCTTAGCCATATCTGTAGGACCCCTGTATATACAAATTAGATTGATTCTTTCCTGTTATCTGTCTCATGTTAATTTCTTAGACCAGCCAGAAAAAGCTTGAGGGTAGAGAAAAATTTCTCCTCCCCAACATTTGCTTTATATACTTTATGGTTTCCAAGTCCCTTCATGTGTTATCTCATTTAATCCTCACAATAGCTCTGTAGTGATAGAAGCCCATTTCACAGCTAACGACACTGAAGCCCACAGAGGGAGAAATCTTCCTCCAGCTTGCACTGTAAGAAGAGGGTTTGAATATAGCCCCTGGCCCTCAGATGCCAGAGTTGTGCCCAACAAATTAGGTCTCTTAGAAGCCTTTTGGATTATCTGGGAACTTTGCTAAAAAACAAAAAGCCAGCAGTGGCAAAATACCTTCTCATCCTCAGCAACCACCTGCATTAGCCTCAAGAGTTTTCTTGTTTGTTTGTTTGTTTGTTTTACCCCAGTCTCAGCAGAATCAGGTGGTCTTTTTTTGCCGACCCTTCCTATAGTTCCTTAGGGAATTCATTTCTCTGGCATTGTGAACTGCTTTCTTTAATACCAATCTTATTTCTTCTATCACAAAGTCCTGTAAAGAGAGAAAGAAATTATGACTTTTGTAGTTCTGAAGACTTGTTTTTGTGGGAGGCTTCCTCTTCTGAGAAAAAAAATGATAAATGAATAAAATAATTGCCAAGTAAAATATGAGGTTCAAAAAAAATCAGTAAGAATAGCTATGATTTACTAAGTACCGATCTTAAACCTTTAAACTCTAAGCTTCGTGGGCGTAGGTGCCCATTTGTCCTCACTATCCAGAACAATACCAGGCACCGAGTACATGTTCAAGAAATATCAGTACATGTAATAAATCAATAGCAGGTACAATGTAAAAATGTATTTCTCATTTAATTTACACGCATATCTCATTTAATTCCAGCCCCCTCCTGCCTCCTACCACCCACACACAAACATGCAACTTCACGAAATTGATATCTTTATCTCAGATGAAGAAACTGATATTAAGAGAGATTGAGTAATTTATTCAAGGATATATGGCTGATAAGTAAACGGTCTCTCTAACTCTAACGTTTCTCTTAATTAGGGTTCTATGAATAGAACAACATTGGAATGGCTTAGATCATAATGTTCCATCACCAGGGTAACGTTCCAGTAGGCTGATGCAAACCAGTGGACTTCAAATAGGCTTCCGGTTGCTGTACAGTAAAGGTAATTTATGATAACATACCTGTAGGAACAGTAGTATATTTTGTCTATTTGCACTGTTGGTTCTTGTTATTGCAGTAGTTATGTTCTATAAAGTGGCCCCAAACACTGAATGACCAAATACTCAGCCACTGTTCCTAGGGGAAAAAGAGGGTTAGGTTCTTGTGAGCCTCTGGTCATAATATTTTTGTCAACCAATCAATATGTAACCTTATTTTATGTATGTATCTGTTTAAAGACACAGTATTTAATACATACTGTTGATTCATTACCATTGAACTCACAACCAAAAGCACTATAAGTCACACCTGAACAAAGCTTATCTAACACATATAAGGCTCATTATAGCCTTATCGCTGTTCAGAGCACCAGACAACACTTTGGCGCTCAACTCGGGTAGGGGAGAATCCTAAAATATAATGACACTGAATACATGAGGAAAAGGACACTTGTTTATAGTATGAGAGCTGAAGCAAGAAGGCAGAGTGTTCCCTTGTTAGACCTTAGCTGGGAATATGCACCTCAAGGAGACTAAAATTTTTGCTGCTCTGTGAATTTCTGGGAATGACAATGAAAATGTCACAAGTATTGATTTTGAGATAACAAATTTTTATGAGTAGACACATTTGCTAATATGGAATTCATGAATAATGAAGATGTTCTCTCTGTGTATGCTTAATATTTTCAAAACCCTTTTCTTAATTTTTGTGGGTTTTTTAAGATTTTTTTAAGATTTTATTTATTTATTTATTTGAAACAGAGAGAGAGAGATCACAAGTAGGCAGAGAGGCAGGCATAGAGAGAGAGGAGAAAGCAGGCTCCCCGCTGAGCAGAGAGCCTGATGCGGGCCTCGATCCCAGGACCCTGAGATCATGACCTGAGCCGAAGGCAGAGGCTTAACCCACTGAGCCACCCAGGCGCCCGATTTTGTTTTTTTTTTTAAAGTTATCTCTACACCCATTGTGGGGCTTGAACTTACAACCCTGAGATCAAGAGTCACATGCTCCATCAACTGAACCAGCCAGGCGCCACTCAAAGCCCTTTAAAAAACCATAGGTTAGGCACATTACTTATCGCCATTTATTTTATTTTTTAAAAGATTTTATTTATTTATTTGACAGAGAGACCACACGCAGGCAGAGAGGCAGGCAGCGGGGCGGGGGGGCACCAGGCCCCCTGCCGAATAGAGAGCCCAATGCGGGACTCGATCCCAGGACCCCGAGACCATGACCTGAGCCGAAGGCAGAGGCTCAACCCACTGAGCCACCAGTTGCCCACTTATCGCCATTTAAAAGACTAAAACTGGGTGAATAAATCATAGAAATCATCCTGTTACTATATCATACACAGAGTCAGTTTCATAGGCATGTGACCTCCGCACTAACACAGGGATCCTCTGCTCAAAAGGGCCCCACACTTGCTTTAATGCTCTACTATTGCCATCTTGAAATTTTCAATGAATTTTCAGTAAGGAGCCCTACAATTTCATTTTTCACTAGGCCCCACAAATTACGTGGCTGATTCTGGCTACATAACAAGTAAACAGATCAATAACTAGAGGGACAAACAAAACAAAACAAAACAAAACAAAACATAACTGGAGGGACAAGAAATACTATTTCTCCAATTGCCCAAATCCTTTATTTCACAGTACCTAACTGATGGATTAAAGTTACCATTTGGAGCATCTGGGTGGCTCTGCTGGTTAAGCTTCTGACTCTTGGTTTCAGCTCAGGTCATGATCTCAGGGTTGTGAGATCAAGCCCCTCGTCAGGCTCTGAGCTCTGTGGGGAGTCTGCTTGAGATTCTCTCTCTCCCTCTCCCTCTGCTCCTGCCCATGCTTGTGCTATCTCTCAAATAAATAAACAAATCTTTAAAAAAGGTTACCATTTATTAAGGATTGGCTATATTAGGTCATTTAATCATTGTGATGAGAGGACTGAGAGTTGGGTATTATTTCCACTTAACATTTAAGGAAACTGAGTGCCCAGAGAAGGTGACTTAACTAAGGTCATACAGTTATTTTGTGTGTCATATAAAAATGTACCTTGTTTTCTTTTCCTTTAGTCATGTCCCAATTTTATTTCATCCCCTAGAGAGGATAAGCAGTAGAAGTGTTAGAAGGGATATAATTCAAAAAGTCTAAATTCTGACAAATTAGTATCTCTAGTAAAAGTAAGTTGAAACTGATGACAAAAAATGAGGTATTTAAACTATTTAAGTAAAACCATATTTTGTTTCCACTACACTGGATAATTAATTGGTGATTGGAATAGAGTTAGGCTTATTGAGGCCAATTCAGTTCTTTAGTGTTAATTGAGTATGTAAAATATTTTGTCTTCTTTCAGTTTAAACTTGCTAGATCCAAAGTTGAAAAGGCATCTTTTCTCTTTTCATGTCTGCAACTGACATCTTGTCTAAAGAGAAAGTTTACTTAAATCATTTGAGTACCAAGTGTTCATTTTCTGGTAGGTTGTATATTTTCTTTTATGTTTGTGAGCAAACATTACTGGATTTATACATTTAAGAAGGTCAGTTGTCAATTGCTTTTTATTGGGTTACTACATTATATGAGCTTGAACTCCAATTTTACTGTGAAAGATATGCTGCTTAATACCGAGGGTTTTCCAGGGAGTCAGGAAACAGAAATGGAAAATGGAAATGCTATGCCTGCCAGAGGTGGCAAAATGAAACTGTAGTTCAGGAAAAAATTGTTTTCTTCTATCCTTTACCTTAAAAAAAAAAAAAATCTCTTATACTATTAAAATTCCTAGGAACAAAATAAGGATAGGAGATGTAGATCCTTTCTGACATGTTGGATTAGAGGAAAATAGATTTCTTTGTTTTTCCCAGTTCTAAAATTTTGGGAACAGATCTAAGCTCAACCTTCACCGTGGAGCCAAGCCCAGTCAGACCTTTAAGCCAGAAGCCAAGTTCTCAGGTGAGCCCAGCCCGCTCAATCCACTACTAAGCATGAGAATAAATGTTTATTGTTGTATGCTGTTGAGTTTCACAGCATTCCTATGGCATTATCTGCCTGAGACAATTCTTTACCATCTTGCATTAAATTCTAGTCTTCCTTGGGCTTTGGACTGGGGGAGGGGGTAAAGGGTTCAAATTCCATTCTCCCTTAAACCATTTCCTTTTGTTCAGGGACTATCTTTGCTGCAAGTACAAATACATGTAAGATTTATGTGTTAGCCAGAGAATGTTGAAATACACCTCTTCTCCTTTTGTGTATCCAGGAATGACCAACTGATGACTCTGATGGGTTTCCTAAAACAGTGTTTGTGTGATTTTTGTGCTTCAATACATTTCAAAGTGTACTGTTCGAAGTGTAAACAACCTACAAGTCTAACAATAAATGGACTAATCAAATATATTATTTTAATTCCATGTGAAAGACTACCACACTGTCTTAAAATATTTCATTTTTATTATGAATGACCTATATGTGATGGCATGAAAAAATCTCATGATATCATAGTAAGTGAATAGGAGTCAATATTTATAAGTAATATACTTTTCATTCATTCAAAAAATATTTATTAGGGGCGCCTGGGTGGCTCAGTGGGTTAAAGCCTCTGCCTTCAGCTCAGGTCATGATCCCAGGGTCCTGGGATCGAGCCCCGCATCCGGGCTCTCTGCTTGGCCGGGAGCCTGCTTCCTCCTCTCTCTCTGCCTGCTTCTCTACCTACTTGTGATCTCTGTCTGTCAAATAAATAAAAATAAATAAAATCTTAAAAAAATAATATGTTCCTTTTTTATAACTGAGTAGTATCCATTGTGTGGATATACCATAATTTATCCATTCAGCTGTTGATGGACATTTGTGTTGGTAGAACTTATTGGCTCATAAAAATAAAGCTGTGATGAACATTCATATCTAAATTTTCTTGTGTACAGATAGTTTCTTCATACACTTGTATAGAGACTTTCACTTTTGTTGGGTAAATACTAGGAATAGAACATAGGGCAGACATATGTTTAACTTTTTAACTACTGCACTGTTTTCCAAAGTAGTTGTACCACTCTACATCCTAACCATTAGTGTCCGAGAGTTCCAGTTCCTCCACATCTTCAGCACTTGATTTGGTCAATCTTTTCAATTTCAGCCATTCTAGTGATAGGCAGTATCTCACTGCAGTATTGATTTACATCTCCCTAATAATCAATGAGACTGAGCATCTCTTTGTGTGCTGACTTACCATCTGTATAACTTCTTTACCACATTGAAAATATAATTTCTCTGTTTTGTGGCTTCTATTGTTCCTTTTTGAGAGGTCAGCTATTATTTCAACTGTCCTTTTATTTTCTCATGGCTTTTAAGATTTCCTCTTAATTTTTTTCAAATTCCACTTTAAGCGTGGATTTAACAGAAAAAAATCTTGAGTGTTTTTCTTTGAGCTTCTTGAGTCTATGAAGTGGTATCATTTGTCAGTTCTGAATATTTCTCAAACATCTTTTTATGTCTTGTCTCTGCCTCACTTTTGTCCTCTGGATTTCCCATTTCATGTGGGTTTGACCTTCTCACTGTGTCCTCCACATATTTTGCTTTTTCATACCTTTTGTCTTTTTTGTCCTTCTATGCTGCATTCAGGATAATGGCTTCTGATTTATTCCCCAGGCCTCTAATTATCTGTTCATCTGAATCCATATCCGCTGCTAAGCCTATATTAAATATTGCTTAATAACATTTTCTTCTTTCTAGAAATTCTTTTTGGCTTCTTGTTTCCTGAACATAGCTGCAAACTTATTTTCTTGTTTTTTTAGATGTTGTATGTGTAATTGTTCTATAATTCATCTGATGCTTCTCACATATGTAGATTTCATGGTTTTGTTGCCGCTGTTCTCACTTTACGATGCCTCATCTACCTTTGTGCTTGACTGGTTATCCTTGGCTGTGTGCTATTTGTTGTCTTTGAAAAAGTATTGTTGGGGAGTCCCAGATGCCGAGGATGAAATTCTTCCAGAAAAGACTTGAGTTTGCTTCTGTCAGTTACTTGGATGTCTTCCCAGCCTGGAACCCCCTTAGCTAAATTCTTGCTACCACCTTGCTCCTCAGCTTGCTATTCCTTGCCCCGTTCTTGTTTTTCACTTTGGTATTTCTTGCAACTGCCCTAGTTGTGAATTTGGGTTGAAAATCCTTGTGAGAGTCAGGAAGCACTTGCAACTTTTCATGGAGGGGTTTTCCCCCAGAGCTACACTTAATGCTAAAGCAACATTCTTCCAGCAAGTACGTGATGGAATGTGAGTTTACTGTGTCTTCACTCTCACCCTGAGGGGGTAAACCTTTGGATGCCAACTTACTATGGAAAAGGTCTACTTTAGACTCTCCACTGTGCATAGGCTTTGGGCTTTGATTTTTCTGTCCCTTGTCCTCTAGGCTAGCAAAATGACTTCTTTAACCTTCAGGATCAGAAGATGTCCTCAGGCAAGCGCAGGTTCTGTCTACCTCCCTAAGTCCTTGTTCTTGCTTTCCTTCATTTTGGACCTGCTATTTTCTAACTCTCTTATCATTTCATTATTAACAAATTAAAAAAAAAATTTTTCCCCAGAATTTTTAGTAGTTTTCACTGGGATTTATGTCTAAATAATGTAGTCTACCATAGTCACTTAAGAGAAAGTTCTGTTCATCTATATAAAATGTTAATGTGAGATAAAATGTTAATGTGAGATTTTTTTTAATGTCTGAGAGGAGCCTTTGTGTGTAAAAGGGACCATTTATAGTTACTTGGATTTCAAATTAAAGTTGATTTTATATATATGTGTATATATGTATATATATATATATATATATATATATATATATTTTAAGATTTTATTTATTTGACTGAGAGATACACAGCAAGAGAGGGAATGCAAGCAGTGGGAGAGGGAGAAGCAGGGTTCCCAGTGAGCAGGGGTCCTGAGATTGACATCTGGATTCAATCTCGGGACCCTGGGATCATGACCTGAATGGAAGGCAGATGTCGAACGCCTGAGCCACCCAGGTGCCCTTAATATTGATTTTATAAAATTAAAACATTAAAAACCTTTCTGTCAACCTTTGATTTCAACATATAACTCTTGTATTCTATCTATAAATTGAGTTATTTTTATATATAGCTCACCCTCATTTTCGCTGAAATTAATGTTCGGTTAACCCAAATTGAGAAGACTGAACACCTTTAAGTAATCAGTCCATTTACAAACTTATTTAATACTTTAAATATTTAAATATTTTAAACTTCTTTTGTAAATTTAACGTATTTGATTTTTAAGTATTTCACGTGTCTGAAAAGACAAATTGATAGATCTAACAAGCAAAATCTTCCTAAATATTTAACAATACTTCAAGATTTTAAGTTTCTGTTCTGCCATAGTCCATTTAATGTCTCTTTCTGTACTTTTTATAATAAGATCCCTTTGGATATTTATTGGGAAAGAAACATCCAAAATGTTAATTTGGTTGTCTCTGGATCAAGAGTGATTTTAGCTTGTCTACCTTATGCTTTTCTGCATTCTCTTAATTTTCTACAATTAATATGTTTTATTTTATAATGAAAAGAAACAACAAGAGTCCCTTAAAGCAAGAATCAACACATAGTATTTGTTTCAAAACCGAAATATATTCTTTTACTGCAATCTTCTTTTTTCCCCTTTTTTTATGTATTTAAATTCAATTAGCCAACATATGGTACCTCATTAGTTTTTATGTAGTTCAATGTAAGATCCTCTTTTCAAAATGTTTTTCCCCTGAAGAAACATCAAAAAACAAAAAGACCTTCGGAAACAATAATAAAATGGAGTGAGATGTGGGGTGAGGGGCACAGTGGGGGTGGTATTTTCCAGGAGGGGAAGGAGGAACCGACTATGAGTATTGGCTGCGAGGTCAAGCAGTCACTGATAGTATTTTGTCCGTTGTTTGCGGGACAGTAAGAATCACCTGATGTTTAGTTTGTCAGCATAATGACTTCCAAGAGAAGAACCAGTGAAATAATTAGAAAGCTCAAAGAAGGCCAGCGCTGTCTCCTGGAGGAGATAAATGAAAAGCGTGAATCCAACTGCCTCGTGGAAAGAAGCAATCAAGTCAGTTTACTGAGAGTTCAAAAGAGGCATTTCAGTGGTGCATACCCGTCTTCTACTCACACCCAAATCAAAGAATCTGTTCCTGATAGTGGCAGGAGCTCCTGGGTCACACTGAGTCTCCTTGTTCACACGGAGAAAAAGCACTTTCCCCCAAAAAGTAAGTTGTTACAGTAGGATTCCCACTCAGTTGACCGGGGGTGGTGGGGTAGGGGGTGGGGGGGTGGGGTTGTATTTATAAGTAAACTTGTGGAGAGTTTCTGGGGTTGAGAGAGTTTCAGGAAGTATCGTTCTGGGATAGTTTAAAGGAGATCTGTCTGAAGTAAAAAAACATCAGTAAAGGAGATTAGTTGATAGAAGATCTACTCTAGACCAGAGATTGTCAGTTTCTTGTGCTTAGAGAATCCCAAGCTCCGTCTCCAGACTGACTCATTGAGAGGGCTCTCCTTTGGGTCCCAGAATCTGCATTTTCAGCAGGATAAGGAGATGCTGATGCTGATGGCCTGAGAGCCATATTTTGAGGAAAGTTGTTGTAGATCATTGTAATAGACCACAAAAACTCTAGAGACCTCCTCTCACCAATTTCTGTTGCCTCTGCAAAAATTTCATGAGCAAAATTGAGATAAACTGAAATGATTTTGATGACAAATATCAAACAAGAGGCCCTGAGTCACAATAATAAAATGTGGAAGGAGGTTGGCATGGGGGTTTGTGGTGGTGGTCATATTATTTTACAGGAGGAGGAAGAGAAAGGGTAACTATTCTTGATTGTGAATACTTGTTTCTAAGTCAAGACAAGCAACTGATGGCATTTTGTCCTTTATGTAAAAAGAAAAAAAAGTGTAATTGTATTAAATACAAACAACACAATTGAGTTAGAGCAGAAACAAAAGAATCACTATTTTGGAGATTTAACTTCTTTGATGAAGGAGTTATGACTTTTCATTTGCCCCAGGCTCTTAGTCAGTGGAACAGAGAGGTGATGCAGGGTGGCATGGGAAACCGAGGTGCTCCATGTGCTTCAAAGTTAATCCGTAACAGCAATGTGTTTGTTATACTAAAAAAATAACTCTTTACAAGGAAGAATGCCTCTAGTGTCCTAAGTGCATCTGCATAATCTTTTACTCTGCTTGAATTACTTGGAACTAGATGAGTTAAGCCACAACTAGTAGGTTAGTTTTTCACAAGTTTAATGGTAGAGGGTAATTCCATCTTCTATGACAAACATAGTTTGCCACGTCACACGAATACACATGGTTTTCTACAAAACAGAGTCTAATAAACGTAATTTCCATAGCCAACATTAATGATATCAAGGTTAGTAACCAACAATTTTGGAACATTGAAATAAACCTTTAAATATTGCAGAAAAGCTCTTTGTTTCTTTTAAGTGAACAGACTCAAAAAGAAATTCAACTTTATGATGATGAGATACACAATAAGCATAGATCTAATTTAAATGTTATGGTAATAAGCATGCAAATACATGCTTTTTCTTTTTTAGACTAAATTAGTAATTCTGAAAGGGTGGCCTGGGGAACTCCTGAGTATTCAGGTCTTTTTCGGGGATCCACAAGCTCAAAGCTATTTTCATAATGATGCTGAGATATTACTTACCTTTTTTACTGTCATGGGACTACAACAGAGTTTTCCAGAAGCAATTTGATTTCAATCACATCGTTCTTCTAACCATCAAATGGAATGGGGAATTGTACTCTTGAGCTTTAAATTTTTTCTCCATTTAAATTTCTGATGTGGTAAATATTGACAGGTACAACACACATGAACAACACTTTGATATGGGGTCTTTTTTTTTAAAGATTTTATTTATTTATTTGACAGACAGAGATCACAAGTAGGCAGAGAGGTGGGCAGAGAGAAGGGGAAGCAGGCTCCCTGCTGAGCAGAGAGCCCGATGCGATGTGGGGCTCGATCCCAGGACCCTGAGACCATGACCTGAGCTGAAAGCAGAGGCTTAACCCACTGAGCCACCCAGGTATCCCGTGATATAGGGTCTTTCCAGTAGAGATAGTTTTAAAAGAGATTTAAAAGATAGCTTAAGAGAGGTGAAAGTTAAGCTCAACCCAAAAGAGAGCTTACCACATTCCAAACCAAAAGTTCAGCCCTACCGCACTAGACTGAGAACAGATATGAGAGAGTACCCCCTCCCCCAGGAGGCCAGCAGATGCAAAGAAAAAAAAAAAACAACCTCATTTGTAAAAATAAGATAGCATATTACTTATAAAATGCGATGAACGTATTACTCCAGTAAACCATCAGCAAATAAGTATTGAACTGAATGATAAACATCACTAACTGTAAAATCACATCCTGTTTCTATAAGATGGCCCACTTCCCATCATTTATACTTAGTTTTAGGTGATCTCAATGAGACAGATTGCTGGACTTCAACTGTTATAGGGCTTGAAAATCTCCTCTGTATTCTTGTGACTCCCACATTTCTATTTCTGGCCCTGACCTTTCTCCTGAGTTGGAGACATCCATCCTGCAACACTATACCCGGTGTCCTTTCCCTCCACAGTGTTTGTCACTCCCTAATGCTCCTTGATGTTACCTGTTTATTCATCGCTTTATCCATTCCGTTCCTAGAATGGTGTCTGGCGTTAATTAGGCACTCAGAAAATATTCATTTGATGATTGAATAAATACTGGGACGTAGGATGTATTTTTCCAGAAGTTGTGGTAAAGCTTACCTCATTCCTCTCGAGACTGGTAGCTGTGCCCTTGGGCAAAGGCTCACAAACCTAGAGTTTCCCATGGCACATTTGTTGTTGTAGACTAAATGGAAGAGGATAATAAGGAGTTACATTTTGCTGGACATATACAGTAAGAATTAGAAAGTACTTTACACTTTTCCTTTGTACATACCTATAGAGGAAGAAACACATTCATTCAGCAGATTTTTGTGGCACTGTTCCATTTGCTCGGCAGTACAGTGACAGAAACAGCCCCTGCCTCATAAAGTTTAGACTTCAGTGGGACTTGAGTGGGTAGAGGCAGGGGGTTGTAAGTGGGCAAGTGCAGTGCAGAAACATAAAGCAGCAGGTTGGGAGTGAACAGGAAGTGCCGGTCAGGAGATTCACCACTGCTCACAGAGATATGTGGGGCAACCCACAACTCCTGGCTTCTCCCCCCCGCCCCATTATTTTAATTTTATTATTTTTTCATCATGGTAAGTATTCTCTTTAATCCCCATCACCTATTTGACCCATTCCCCCACCACTGGTAGCCGTTGCTTCTGACTCTGTAGTTGAGTCTGTTTCTTGGTTTGACTCCCTCTCAGAACTCTTGGCTTCCTGAGGTAGCCCAAGTAAACAGGGATAAGGAACAGAATGAGATTAGTCTTCACGGTCTCCAGCGGTGGTGAGGCCATGAGTGTTAAATCTGAGGAAGGTTGGGGACTTTGCTAAGAGCACTTGGGGTTCTGGGGACTCCTCTTTGCTTCTATCAATAGGGATGTGAAGACCAGGGAACAGGTTTGCTTAGCTGGAGATCTCCAAGCTCTCTTTTCAGCCTTCTACCTGGAGATGTGGAGGCCAAAAGAGGGGTGGTCTTACTTAAACATACTAGCCTTAAAAACAGAAGACACAGGTATGTTAGTTCAGGTTGTTATAACAAATCACAACAAATGGGTAGCTTAAACAACATGTATTTCTCACAGTTCTGGAGGCTGGAAGTCTGAGATCGGGGTGCCAGCATGGTCGGGTTATTGACGAATGTCCTCTCCCTGGTTTAGAGAGGGCTGTTTTCTTGCCACGTGTCACATGGCAGAAAGCGCTAGCTGGCTCTCTGGCCTCTTCTAAGGGCACTAATTCCATTTATGAGGACTCCACCCTCATGACTTAATTACCTCCCAAAGGCCCCAGCTCTCCACACCATCACACTGTGATTAGGGTGCAATATAGGAATTCGGGAGGGGGGCACAAACATTCAGTCCATTGCACTTGGATTCAAGTTCTGCTTCTGCCATTGACTAGTGTCATGTGCTTAGTCATTTAATGTTGCTAAGCCTTCCTTTCTACATCTGTGAAGCAGTACTCGTCCTCTCTGCCTTCAGGGTTATTCTGGAACTATGAAATGTATTACAAGTTATATAACAAGTACTTTTTATTTTTCAGATAATGCCATATTTGGATAAAGTGCATCTCCAGAGACACAGAAATATATTCCCTTTGATCCTTCTCTAATGTCTGTCTTATTGACAAATATTAATTATTAAAGAATTTAAAAAAATTCACTGGCTCACCAAGAAAACATTATATTGTCACATAAAACACATCTTTATTCATTCCATCCCATTATTTAGACTTGGATGTTCTGAAGAGGTTTTGAGTGGTTAAAGATAGTCTCAAAGATGAATGACCAAAAAGTTCACTTTACAGTGATCTTCTCTTTTGTAAGCTAAAATGTTTTTTATTTTTTTTATTTATTTAAGTAATCTCTATACCCAACATGGGGCTTGAACCCATGACCCCAAGACCAAGAGCTGCGTCCTCTTCCAACTGAGCCAGCCAGATGCCCCAACCTAGAATGTTTAAACAGCTTGTTTCTGAAATTAGTAGAATGTAATCCCACTCAGTCAAGTTAAAGACTAAAGTTTCTCGAAGTTAACACTTGCTTCTATTGCTTAATTGCATTAACTTACTCTGTTGAGGCTACGGTTTTGATAATTTAAAGTACATACTTGAGAAGATAATATAAGGTCCACAGAGACTTTTGTTCTATTTTATTGCCCATCCCCAAAGTGGGCATTGCTAGAGTCATCTCGTGGCTAAACCCCATTTGGCTACCATCACCACTGTGTCCTTGTTTCCTGGATAGCAGGCAATTTTTCAATTTAACCTGGTAGATGTGTTCCCTGTTGCAGTCTGAGGTCATAGCCTATCCCATTTGGTAAGCCAAGCACTGCCTGGCTTCTTGGCATTTGTTTTTACATCAGTGAAATATTCACCTTGTATTTCGTTGCCGTTTGGCTCCACAAGCTTCATAGGCTAGAGCATTTTCGTATTAGAAGGGATATGGAGCCTTCAATTGGCCTAAAATCCTACCTCAGCTAGGACTGCACAAGTGCCCAGTATGGATAAGATTCATTAACTCTGAGGGTATTTTAAAAAAAGGGCCAGGCCCCAGACTGATTTTTTGCTTCTCAAAAGGCAAACACCAAGTGTCAAGAGCTAGGAAGGTTAGCCTACCGCGGTTTCATGAGCTTTGACAGAAGGCAGAAGATTCCTAGCTCTGAGGCAAAGGACTTTATTACTCCCAGCACAGCAGGTAGCACCAGCCTCATGTTTAGGCGGGTCCCCCTTGCCCTCCCCCTACCCCTCCATGGCAATCAGGAACTGTCCAGATAGATGCCACACACACAGGTTTTGCCTCACACCTGAGGTTTCTCTGAGCTTAAGACACCCAACCTTTACTGTACTGGATGGCAAATAAACCTGCCTTCTGTTCCAGTGAGGCATTTCTGCCATCCAAAGTCCTTGGCTACAAGCATCCTTGAAGAGAAAGTCTGGAACTAAAGCTGTCAGTGCCTCTGCTCCGAAGGCAAGCGGAAATGTGAGAGCTCTATGGGGGAATTACCTGCCTACACCAATAAAGACCATCACATACAAACACATAGTGAATGAGTGTCCAGTTATGTACTATGTAATTAACAATCCTTCTAACTTCACTTCTTTGTAATCCCCTCCTACCTTCTCCTCCAGCTTTTAAGGAACTGTTTGTGGTTCTCTGCCTTATTCTGTTATCCTCCCTTCTCTTGGCTTGCTTTAGTTTAAATTCCACCTTCTGCTGGAAACCTTCCCTCCCCCAGCCCCTTTCCCTGTTAGGTGTTTCCACATCTTCCTCCTCTATACACCCTACAACAACCCTAGGGCTAAAACAAGAAACTCACAAAACCATGTATCTTTTGAACTCTGATGCTACTGATGGGGTTTTGGAATATAGGTGAGGTTCAGTGGGTTGGGGTCCAGAGCCCATGACCAAGAAAGAATTCTTGGGACGTCTTTGGTGCAAAAAGGTGGTTTCATTAAAGCACAGGGACAGGACCCCTGGGCGGTAAGAGCTGCTGCACGTGTGTGTGTGTGTGTGTGTGTGTGTGTGTGTGTGTGTGTGTGTGGCTTGGGGAGCAGTGATTATATACTGGGGAGTTGGAGGAAGTAAGGAAAAGGGAGGTTTCAAAAGAACTTTTTTTTTTAAGGATTTTATTTATTTATTTGACGGAGATCACAAGTAGGCAGAGAGGCAGGCAGAGAGAGAGGAGGAGGCAGGCTCCCCGCTGAGCAGAGAGCCCGATGTGGGGCTCGATCCCAGGACCCTGAAATCATGACCTGAGCCGAAGGCAGAGGCTTAACCCACTGAGCCACCCAGGTGCCCCATCAAAAGAACTTTCATAGGCTAAAAAGGGCCAACCTACAGATACCTAGGAGATAGCACAGGTCCTGCCATTGTGGAGTTAAGGTTGTTTTCCCTTCTAGCAAGGTATTAACATTAAGATAGTTGGGAGATTTTAGAAGAATTTCATGCGTCTCCCCCCAGGAGTGGGGGAGGGGAGGCTGCAGGAGGTCCGCTTGTGTTTTGTCTCACCATTCCTCCCAGGAACGTTTCATAGCTGTTGATACACGTGTTCCCTCGTAAACATGTGCGCACCAGCATTTTCCTCCGTTTCTGCTCTGGCTCCCTATTTGGCTGTCTGCAGGTGGGTTTCCAAGTCAAGGCCACTAATGGTCCTGCAGGAAGGCTTCCCGTGGCACCCCTGCTACTCCGGAAAAGACTTCTGCATGGCCCACCATTGCCGCTGAAGCTGTTGTAGGGATTAAGAATGAGCTGTCCTAAGATGTGCCATTTTGGCCTGTAGATGACTCTTGAGCTGAACACCATCAAGGCCCCAAAGACTCAGCAAGAAACTTTGACCTTCTCCCTAACTGCCCAAAAGAATTTCATAGAGGACTTGCTTCAGGAGGAGAGTTCTCGCCATCTATGACTACACTGTAATATGAACTAGGTGTGGAATAGGGGAACCTAGTGAAGTCCGTTACAAGTCCTCTCTGTCCCATCATTTCTGTATGGCCCAGCAAACACACCTTTACATCTTCCTGTGAATTGCTTTCCTTCTTCCGGTGACAGAATTCCTCTGATTTTCTGAGAACTGATTTCAAGGTGATAGATCCAGCAAGGCTGAATGGAGGCATCTCCTTTTTAAACTGTTATCTTTCCCATAACGAAACAAAGCAGCATCAACCTCTGTCACCCTGTAGTCACACAGGCCATTCAAAAGTGAGTCCTCCTTGCCTTAGGGCCATCACACAGGCTCCTGTCTGCCTGGGAAGTCCTTTCCCCATTCTTCTCAGATCTGGCCCCTTCCCACCCTTCAGCATCTCAACTAGCAGGTCATGTCCTCAGAGGCTATAACTGACTGCCACATCTGAAGTAGAAAGAACTCTGTCGTGCAACGATTTATTGCTAAGCAGGCAAGAACACAAGTCATGGAATATGTTCTCACAAGTTCAATGAAATCCTTGCCCTCACTTTGCTACTCATGGACCAGCAGCATCCGCAGTTTTTCTGAAATATGGGATCTTTGGCAAAAGGGAGGAAAACTTTTCCTTTCTTCCTTTGTGGGTTCTTCGGCTGGTTAATAATTAAGTTGACGTCAGACAGAGTAACAGGAGGGAGACAAATTTGATTTCATAGGAGAGCTCACAAACACATGAGACTCAAAGGAAGTGACCAAAGCAAAACTTACCTTTCAGACAAAGAAACAAGAAATTGGTGAGGAATTGACAAGTGTGGGCTTGGGCCAGTCAACTGGTGAAGCAGGAGCGAGTGTTTTACAGCCTCCCAGTGCTGAATTCCCGGTCTCGGGCGATAAGGATGTCTCTCTACCTCCGGATCCGGGAGGCCACCTTCCACAGGGGAGACTTCCCCGCTTGCAGGGGGTAAAGGAAGCTCAGAGTGTCCTTGCACAGCAGCTGCTTAAGTAACTTTGATTCAGAATAACCCAAATAATTAATATTGCAGAGGGGCATATTTTAGGGGGGACTGCCATGAAGCCCATCACAGGCTTCAGCCCAGCTCGACTGAAACGGAACCTATCTTTTAACAAGATCCTCAGTTGACATTAAAGTTCGAGAAGCATTGCAGCTTGAGGCGCACCCACAGACACCTTCGAGTGGCTCCATTTTCCCGCACACGGCTCTCCGCTTTGGCTGCACCTCAGAAACATCTACGGAGCTTTCTGAAAATTCGTTTTCCTAGACCCTGATTCCAGCATTCTCATTTAAATCATCTGGGTCGGGAGGACATATGGGAACTTTTTAAAAGCTCCCCCGGGGTACTACTCTGTAGCCCGGAATGACAGCCACCGCTCTGGCTGGGGCTGAGAGAGGCTTCCAGTAAAATTCAGGTAACAGGATCCTCTTTAAGAGGCTGAATTCCAGACCAGAAGAAACCCTGGGCCTCAGGCATCATTCTGAAAAGTACAGGCCAGGGGTCAGCAAACCATTTTCTGTAAAAGGCTAAAGGTATTTTAGTCTTTACCTTGATGTGATCTCTGACGCAACGCGTTAATTCTGCTGCTGAGAACAGACACGGGGAAATGAATGAGCATCACTGTGTCCCGATAAACCTTTACGGACACTGAAATCTGAATTTCATATAATTTTCACATATTGTAAAATATTATTCTTTTGATGTTTTTCCAACCATTTAAAAATATATCTAACTCATGCAAGAATTATATAGCTAATCCAGATATCTGAGCTTTACTCATTGCACCAATGAAAAGTTTTCTCTATTTTTAAAAATTTCAGATATTTCATGACAGTTCCAGACTCCTTAACTTCTTTTAACAATTAATGCTTTGAGTTGGGCCCAACATCAGAAAGTTAGAAGAAGCAGATGAAAATGGACTTACATACAGAATTCCTCTATTAGGGAGCTACTGATTGCAGAAGGAGCCTGTTAAAATGGACTTTAAATTTGTTTCGTGAAAGTATCACATTGATGAATTTTGTGGTGGTGGTGAGGACAGAAATGTGAGACACCCACAGGAAGGAATTTTGTGGACTACGGCATCAGTCAGAGTTCCTAATTTTAAGAAACAAAAACCAACTTGGAATAATTTAAGCAGGTAAATTTATTAAATATATTAGTTAGCTCACACAAGCTCCAAGAAGGCCAGAGGACTGGGTTTGTAGGCTACAGAGCTAGAAACGCCCACATCGGGCCACAAGGCGCAGGAAGTCTCAGGGCCTTTGGACTCTGGATACAGCAGTACCATCAAGGCTACCAGCGCCTCTCAGCTCAGTGCCGCTGCCACCTCCCACCCCAGCACGGTGACCTAAAGCTGCTTCTTTATCTTTACATCCCTGGTTTCAGATTCCAAGTCTGGGTTGGGTACAACCAACTGGTGGAACTTAGGTCACATA